ATGGCTGGCTCAGCTTAAAAACTGTTGAACACACACACACACTGCAGCCCCTTTTGTTTAACGATTACTTTTTCTGACGCTGTCACAGAGAGATGTGGGAAGGCTCATCCTCTAACAGGCATGTTGGGCGTTTGTTTTCTCTGAAGGTTGATGGGTTTTCTTCAAAGATCAGATTTTTTTTAAGCCTTGGTAAAACAACTGCTGACATTATCATTGTGAGACAGTATTGATTGTGTTGTTGGCCTCGCACACTGACGCAGGGCTGAAACGATCACCATCATTTTTGTCTAATTCGACTCTTCTTTCAAGTTACTGGTTCAGAGTAGAAACACTGGTTAGTTGCAGCCCTGCTCTGGTGTGTGGAGGAGCTACAGTAACAGATGCAGTTTTTTTGTTGTTTTTGACTTTTTTGTATATTTTTTTCTGTTCGTTGATTTTGTCTGCACATAATTTTTGGTTTTGTTGGGATTTTGAAGGTTTAGTCTGCTTCCCTTCTGTCTGCTGTCTCTCTGTGTTTCACCCTTTAGTCACAGTCACTCAGTTTCCCTTCTGCAGATACTCAGAGGTGTTTTTTTTTTCTTTTTTTGTGGTCTGATCCCGTCAGTCAGCTATCAGTGCCGTCCTTCTTAAACTGTAACTGATGTTTTGAGCCAACGTTTCAATGCTCATGTTCTATTTAGGGGGAAAAGGTTCAAATCTTTGTCTAACAATGATGAAATATTGTTTTGATTTAGCACAGAAAAGAAACAGGCCGCAGTAATGCAGTGTGGCCAGTAGGAGGTGGTATGAGTAGATCTCCAGAAACTCACCAGGCGTTAATCTCTAGTTTCTCCTTATATAATTGATTAACCGTGTATTTCAGCAGGCAGCTAATTATTGAGAGAGAATATGGAGATATTGATTATCTGCCTGATAAGACAGATGGACGACATGACATCCAGCAGCTGCTGAGTTTCTGGTGCTACAGAGGCTGTGACAGGCTGCCCGCCATCATCACAGTCACTGTGACGCAAACGTTCATACAGTGTGCTGCCTCAGCGTGTTTGACTTTACTGTGATGTAGTGAAGAGCAGTCATGATCATGTTCCACTGGGTTTTTGGCAACTAAATCAAATTTCTGCAAAGCTTCAGTTTTACAGTGACGAACCTCCTCCTGCAGTTCTGTGGTGTGCTGGACTTTTGAGCTTCTGAGCCAAATCATTTTTGCAGACGATGTGCTGCTGACTTTGTGCGTGAAGTTGATCCGTTTGAGTTTTTTGCTTGTCCTTCTACTTTTTGAGATTTTCAATTGCATTAAAATCCAGAGAGTTTCCAGCCCATGATGCCGGGAGAGCGTCATGGGCTGGAAACGGTGACACGAAGCTGAGAAACGGATCAATATGGAACTCTGATGAGGCAGGAACGGATCGCCATCAATCAGCATTTGGCTCAGAAGCTGATATCCAGCACGTTATGTTATTTACGCTGTAAACACGGAGTTTGCATGAATTTGATTTAGTTAAACTCATTTAGTTCTTATGATTTTTCTTCACCATATCATAAAGAAAATGTGCGAAACAAAATTTATGCCACTTAAATTTATGGCCATGATTCTTTCTCGACCTGGCTTCTGAGTTTTCTGTGCTGTGAAGCGTCAAGTCTGTTATTGTCAACAAAAATCGTCCAAGTCCTGTTTTTAGAACAGTTTTCATTTAGGAATCTGACAAAGTTCATTAGACAGAAAACGTTTTGCGTATCCTTCTTTAAATCATGTGAAAAGGTTAACTTGGTCTCTGGGAGCCTCTGAGGGGAGTAACCATCATCCAGCAGGTTCATCGATAGCAAGAATAATCTAGTTACAGCCTTAAGCATTGAAATGCATGAAAGCGACTTTCTTTTCTCTCATATGAGTATTTTAACATATGAGACGCAACTCATGAGGTTTTGTGAAATCAGATGTTACGGTTCTCCCGGCTCGCCCTGTGAAATATCTGCATCGTGATGTTACGTCAGACCTGCGAGTGGAGCCCCGAGTGTCTCGTCAGGTGGATTCATCAGCACTGTTGCGCTCGCTTTCTGGCTCTGAAGATAAAGACTCCTCATAAGAATCTAACAAACTGAACGGTTCGGGTCCTCTCCACGTGTGCCTGTTTTCTACCTTTTCCGTTTGTACGTTTTTATTCACTTCTTGCTTTCTCCTCAAGCAGCCTGTGCAGATCAGAAAAATGTTGAAGCACTGGTGTAAATACTGGCTGACTTATGCTGATTTCAGAGCAAATTTACCGAGCTAATTTATTCAAGACGAAGATTGGGATTAAAGGGGAGGGGGGTGGGGTTTGTATACTGTACCACTAGGGGGCATCGGATTCTGCAGGGCTCGAGCGTCAGATGAGGCTCCTGGTCTGCAGAGATGTCATTTCCTGTAAAGCTTTTTGTGGATATGGAAGTTGACAGCTGTTCACTGAGGTTCCCACATCCACAAGGAGCCAAGCTGACAGGTTTTTGTTATGTTTCTGTTTTTCTAAAATGATGGGGGCTGTAATTCAGAGATCTGAGCTTTTCTTTTATTTGCTTTTAAATGTGCAGGAAATAAACTGAGGATTTGCTGTAGAGCTGCTGCTTCTGTCGTTTTTATTAACAAAAAAGAATAAAGTGTAAGATTTTCTTTTCTCCATTAGTGCAGAAAAGTGAAGAATGGAGGTTTTTACAGAGTTCAAAGGAAGCAGAAATGAGGTTTGGTAATGGTCAAAACAAACTGGGTAGATGAAACAAGCAGGAAAAAATCTTACAGATGAGTGCAAGCAACAATAAAAAATACTACAGATTAATGCGAAGTAATTCACGTGTTTAATTTGAGTATATTTAGAACAAAGTTTGTCAGTTACAGTTGGAGTATGAACGTTAAAGCTATTGAGGTTGCATGAGCGCACTGCAAGCAGAATGAAACATATGCGCACCACAGTGTAAATGTGCGTGGTCCTTGGTGATGTCATTAACTGACTGAAAGGCCCCCGCTGACTGTGCCCTGGCTGGCCACTTCATTAGGCACACCTGTTCAATCACACGGCGACATGGCTCCAGTGGGTGGCGCCGAGGCACGAATCGTTGTTAAGACATAAACCTCAGAGAAGAAGAAAGCTTTTATTTTGAAAACTCACTCTCCTGCAGCTGGTAGGCTTTGCTAAATAGTGTTCCCAGCTCATCATGGCCTCGCCAGCCTGACTCCAGCTTTTTCACGGACTTCCCCTTCAGTCTTTGGTAGTGATGGTGAGATGAAGCCTAGTGATGAACTGAAGCTTTCCATCCAAGCATTGTGATGATTCATTTGCTCTACTGCGCCATCAAGTGGACGATTCAAGTGAAACAGGCTCTGTGATTATAACGATGTGATGTGTAAACCTCTAAACTGAATAAATAAATTGTTTTCGTGGTTATTTATCCTGAATATTGTCTCAGTATTTCTGATACAAAAGAGAAACTGGAAACTATCAGGACAGAGTTTTGCTATGATTGTGTAGCTGTGTGTCATCACTGATTTCTAGAATCGATTTGATCCACGACTCAATTCAATTCGGGGAAATTTTGCCTCAGACAGAAAAATTATAATTCAGATCATGCATCAGTACATTTTGTATATTTTTATAGATATAAAAAGAAAGCTGACATTTTCGAGACTTTATCAAAGGTGTGAGCATCACAGCAGAGGCCTTTGTGTCAAAGTAATTGAGGATAAAACAGAAAAACGTGAAGGCGATTTTCCTGGCCTGGGATTTAAAAAAAATATTCTGCAGTACATCAAAAACAAAAGAAAACCATTAATCAACACATGAACGTTACCTGATGCTGCTGAAGTGAAGCAGAGCAAAGTTACAGAGGTTTGATTAGAGACACAGCTGAGCGTTTTGCAATTTTGCATAATTTTAAAAACTGTAAATTTGTTCAGAATTGAACGGCAGAAATTAGGTTTTCTTTTCGGAATTAAGTGAAAGGGGAAAACGATAAATTAATCGATATGACGTTATCCACGAATTAATTTTAATCGATAATCAAAAACCCACCCCTAGTAACTGTGTAATCATGCTTATGTACATCTGGATAATGACACAAACTAGCTTGTGGCGCTTCACTTTTTAAAAAACTAAAAGACAGAAATCAGATTATAGGATCTGCAGTGTTGTTTATTTATATTATGGTGCTAATCATTCGTGATATTTATTACTGTGTGCATACTTTATTAGAAGAGATGAGATTTTAAAAAAAATTCTTTCTTGCTGGTTCCATCGAACAAGAAATGCTCAATTAACTATGTAGCACGTACAGTTCAACAACACTGATGGGGAAATCAGCTGTGTTTTGCTGCCCATTTTATTTGGAATCTGGCGCGAACTGGCGAGCCACTTCCTGAATCAGTCACGTGGTACGGACTGCCCGCGAGGCCTCGAACGTCACTACATACGTAATCAAAGCGAACCTCGATACACGCTTCACAAAAACGCCCCCGAGATTACCCGACACAGGTATCGGAGCTTCGACACAGAGGACACATCACTAGTCTTTGGTCTTTTCTCCTGCACAGGTAACCAATCTCAAATCAAATCACTTTTATGGTTACATCACATTACAGGTACAGCATATGTGACCGAACACGTGATTAAGCTGGCGCTAGCCTTTAGCTAGTTATCTTAGCATGCTGCTAGCTGCTTTAGTTGCTAGTAACACGAGGGGAATACGACTCCATACGACATGTGTACAAATAGATCCAATGATTTTTCAGGGGTGGTTTATGTGTAGTCCTTGGTGATTTAGTCTCATATGAAGGCTCATAGTGGGTTAAAGGTGGATGGTGTCCACATGTG